ACTCCAAACAGCTGAGAACCCATTGCCAGGCAGTGAGAGGCGGAGTGAGGCCTGGACCCCACTCTTGGGTGGGGAGTTGCTGAGAGCAGCCAGCGCCTATGGGGTACAGAGATGGTGCTGGGCTGGGCCCTGGTCCTGCCCCTTCTTCCTGGCTTCCACAGGAGCCTGGACCAGCAACTGGGAACCTCTTTCCACAGTGCCCTTCTGGGATTTTCTTTCTCTCTGGGATTCTCTGTCATCCCTCTCTCTAGCTCACTTGTCTCCCTCTAGCTCTGACCTGCTAGCTCTCTAAGTATCTCTTTGTATCTTTGTCTCTCTCTGCCACAGAATACTTCCATGAAAGTAAAATTCATTCTCCTTAGGTAAAATTCATTCTCCTTGAGGATGTCAGGTGAGGCGGGCCAGCTGGGACTGTCGAGACTGGTGATAACTCCAGGTCTCTGCTCTGAGTAGCTCCCCTTGCCTGCTCTTCATTCCTGCCAGATCCATCCAAATGCAAGGATTTATGGCCACATGTGTCCAGCTTGAAGTGGACTGGATAATGGATACCTTCCCAGAGAGAAGTTACTCTCATTTAGCACACCTTGCTCCTGGACCCATGGTCTCTCTACTAGAGTTCCACTACTAGTGGTTTAGGGTTTAAATGAGGAATAATCCCTGTTAACTGACATGCAACGTTGAATAATATTAAGCATATCAGTCATTAAAACTCTAGTATGAACAAACCTTAACAGCTCATCCCTCTACCTCCAGTGGGTAGAATCTGCCTAAGGAGACAAGCAAGCATCAGCCCTTTTTAGTAGGAAGAGAGGTGTGAAAAAAGAAGGGAGTAAAGGTCCCATAGAGTGCATGTGGGCAGAGACGGGGTCAGGAAGGAGGGGATTTGGGAGAAGCTACCAGAGGAAGGAAGTTGGGCAAATGTTGTTAAGAAGGCCTCTCATTTACTTCATCTACCCATTCCTTTGCAACAACAAAGCATAGTCAGAAGTCCCCAAGTCTCACATGCCCCTCCCCCACCCTCCTTTTCTTTATTGGGGGATTGAAGCCTGGAGAAAAGGAACTGACTATAGATTACACAGAACTTTCAGGCCTTAACTCCAGAAACAAACCCTGTCCTGCCATCCTTGCTGTGACAGCTCTGTCACTCTGGTGTCCTCCTCCAGCTCCCTAAGGGACAGACCTCTCACCCTGAGGATTCCTGAGGAGGGTGAGAAAGCCTCCTAGAGCCCTAATTTATAGTTTTCTGACAGCTTCCTTCCTCCCATCTCTCCCTTCCAGCCCCTCTCCGGTCTATGAGGAAGGAATGGAGGGCAGCTCCAGCGAACATAAATAATTTGGCTAGGCAGCTGCAGGCTCTCGCGATCCCCCCAGCGTCCCTGCCCAGTGGTGTAGCTTTGTGACCAGGGGGCTGGCCCACAGATCAAAAGCAGAGAGGAAGCATTGTTCTCCAACCTGGAAGCTGGAAGGGGGTGGGGGGAAGGCCCCACCCTCCAGCCCCACCCTTTGCCGGGGCAGAGGCTATGAAGGCCACTAATGTTTACATGGCAACTTCCCTTTCATGACATGGACCATCAGGCTGGGCCTCTGGAGACAGCCACCACAGGCTCAGGCCACCACTTGGTCCCCTGCCCCTGCTCCCTCACTCTCGAATGGGCACAAAACAAGTACAGATGAGGTGGGGGCCTGGGCTCCCATGATCTGGTGTGTGAATATGGCAGATCTTAAGGGCACCCCCCCATCCCCACCCTCCCCCACCCCCTAGCCAGGGACTCAGGCAGTGGAAAGACCGTTGGCACAGGCCCCAGAAGAGCTAGTAGCACAGAGGATGCCGCCCAGGTTTGTTTGTTATGAGGAGAACAGCATTTCCTGTTTGGACTAGGCCAGGGTCGGAGTGTCAGTGAATCCACACCAGAAGGGCTATGTTTCCGGGAACCCATGGCCTTCTCTGGGAGGGTATGTGTGTGTGTGTGTGGTGTGTATCTAGTCCCTGTGTGGTCCACATGTGTGTGTGTCCATGTGTCTTGCCTCATCAGTACCCAGATGGGAGTTCAAATATGAGCTGAGTTTTCTCTCTCTCCTCAAAAAAACCCCTTGCAGAGCTCAGAGGATGGCAGTGTGGCCTGTGGGTACGGGCACCACTCACCAGCCATGAAGCTCAGGGGAGTCCCATACCTGGCAGCCCCTTGGACGGTGGGTGGTGGAGAGGAGAGCAGGAGACAACGTGAGCAAAACGCTTAGCGCAGCGTCTGGCACCTGGTCAGCACTTGGGAACATTAGCTTACTGGCGGCTGTGGTCTGGCTTGGCAGCTGACAAGACCAGACCCCCTGGGGGAAGGCCCTGCCCGCTGGGACAGACTCCAGACCTCTAGCCAGGGGGCCCTGATCCTCCTCCGTCTCAGCACTGAAACCCCAAGTGACCAAGGCCTCAGCTCCCACCATGTCTTCTGCCCTTCTAGCTCAGGGAGGAAAGAGGGCCAGAAAACAGCCTCACTGCCACCAAGAAAGTACACTTTAAAGGGGGGCTTCAGACTGTACCCCAGAACCACCACATGGAGACCCACAGCTTTCACGCCTTCCCAAAAGCACAGACTTGTACCAGAGGGGCCTTTAAAAGAGCCACAGCTTTTTTTCTTTTTTTTTTTCAGGCAAGGAAATAAGATTCAGAGAGGGAAAGTGACTTATCTGGGGCCACACAGCTTCCACTGGCTGCTCAGGAACTTACTCCAGGCTGACCACAAGGTCTACCTGTAGTTATAAAAATTAGCCTGAAAAAAAATATTAGCCTGGATTGGGGGGTCCCGAAGCTCAGCAAGGACAGGATCCCCCCCCCATCCCCCCCCCCCCCCCGCTACTGTCAAAATGTTGCTAACAGCTTTTACTGAGAAGTCCCTTGCTGGAGAAATTCCTCAGAGGCCAAAGTCGGCATTGGTGAAGGAGTGTGTGTGTCATCCATCATGGGAGCCCCCCAGACAGGTCGAAAACAGCTCTGTGGTACCAACAGATTCTGTGGCAACCATTAGGGGTCACAGACCCCCTCCCAGATCCCCCCAGATCCTCCCCAGGACAGAAGTAACTGCCCGGCAGTTCTGCCTAAACTGCTTCATGCTTTTCAAAGTGTTCTTGGGGCTTTGGGTTTTGACACTGGCCACTTGACCTGACCACAGATGGGCCTGGGATCCTCTCAGCAGATGGCCCTTGGGAGGGACATTTCATCCAGGCAATGAAGCCACTGATTCAGTTGTGTCAAAAACAAGAGTTAACCAGGAAGGTACAGACAGATGGCAGATGGAGGGTCAGACAGATGGCATATAGTAGGTGCCCCAAAATTGCACATGGAAGGAAAGAAGGCAGCTCCCCGAGGGGGCAAAGTTGATGCCACAATGTTATTGGAGGAAGAGGGGAGCACTTGGGAGGCCACATGAAGCAGGGGGCAAGGTACTACTAGGATACCCCAACCATATGCACGCACCCATGAGGAACGTGCAACTGTCCCCCTTACAAAGAGAGGAGGCTCAGAATAGGGTGGGACCTGTGCACACTCACCCAGGCAGAGAAGTTTAAACAGGATCCCTCGGTATCACGACGCATTCCTGTGACCTGGTGCTGCCCAGCCCCGGGGAGTCCGGGACAGGCAGACCCCAGGACTCAGGCAGGGGCCAGAAGGTCCTGCCCGCTGGAGTGTTTTCAGTAGCGATCCTGGATCTGCAAAGCCGCAAAGGAGCCCATGGACATGGAGCATAGAGCAGGGCAGGGACTCCCTACCTTGGACTTCATGGTACATGTGCGTTCGGACAGAAGGGGGGAGAATTAGAGACTGTCCTGGACTGGGGGAGGGGGTGTTTAATGAGGACTGAAGTCCCTTTCCATAAGCACACTCCTACCACAGACACACACGCAGAGGCCTCCCACACCCATCACACAGGCATGCACATCCCACCTGCACACTTGTCCTCCACACACGTCATAATCCGCTTCCCATTCACCATATCACACAAGCACACACTACCCTTGCATACACCTTGGTGGTGGCCCTCTCACCCTCATATCCCTCTGAGGAAAAAACTAAGCTTATCCTTGCCTCGTGACAGATGAGAAAACCCAGCCAACGCACAGCCTGCCCTTTCCCAGACATGGCCCAGTGCTGACACTCTCTGAAGTCACACCTGGGTTTGGCTCCAGACTCTTCCAGCCATAGACAGGATGCCCTAGGCAGCTGAGATGGCCTCCTGGGACTCAGTGTCTCCACCTGTAAAATGGTGGTAAGAGAGGACACTGCCCTTCTGAGGTCAGCGCCGGTCGTCTCCCTCCAGGGTGACTACAAGTGCCTGGCCTCGGTTTTCTTCTCAGTAAAATGGGTATAACTGTGCTCACCTCCGGAGAGTGAGTGGTTTGAAGACTAAGCCCAGGCAGGCTTCGGAGAGAGGCGCCCTGCACCGTGGCAGTGGCGCTCCCGGCTCGGGTCTACGGCTGCGCTGCCCGAATGGACGCGTGGACAGTGGCGCTGAGAGGGGTTAAGACCAGCGTCATCCCCTCAGGCTGGGTGAGTTTCACTCCTGGCCCTACGACAGTGACCTGGGCCTCGGTCTTCCCAGTCTGCAACACGTGGGAGGACATCCCTTAATCTGCACCCCGCCCCCCAAAAAGGCCAAGCGGCGCCAGCGGGGCTCAGGTGGGGGCACCT